TTGGGGGGGGGGGGGAGCTGTGGGGACTGCAGCCCCTGGTTACGCCACTGACTATTACCAAATACAATATAAATGACAACTTATAAAAAAATATAAAATAAATGAGCAATGAGAAATAAAAAAAAATTTCAGATTATATCTTAATTTGTAATACAAACATTTTAAAAAATTAGGTTTTTATTTTAAAGACACACATAAATATACACTTATTTCGTTTACATAATATTATAATTTAAATTGTACACATAACTTATTTTGTATAGAGGAAAGACTTCTATTATGAGATACTGAGTTCATTTTGGGTAAATGCTAGAAGTCTATGGGCAGAATTTAAAAAAATAATAGGTCATTTTGAAGGGAATTTAATAAGCTATAAGATAACGTTATATACAATTTAATTCAAATTCCATTTTTTTTTAAATTAAAGAAATGTAAAAAGTGAGCAAATCGCAAAGTCAAAAAATTGTGCTCCTAATATGGATGCTCTGAGAAATCGATAGTAAAACGCAAATTATATCAGTATTGCAATTAAAAAACTATATTTAATGTTTCTAAAATACGAACAAACACAGCCAGTGTGCGCGAAAAATAAGCATGCGATAGATTATACCCAGAACTCGTCTTTAGGTAGTTGGAATCGCAGAAATAGGCACTCGACGTTCATTCCGGTTATCCTTTTTATTATTGTACAATAACATTTATACTTTAACAACAATTTTCATTATAACATAGGAGCATGGGTTATTTCTTATTAGAAATACCCTGAGTATTTCATATTATGATTTCCACACCTTATGCTTTTACGATTATCAAATCTAATTTCTGTAATTAAACAATTCAACGTATCCCGTGTTTTTTATTAGTACGACCTTACTCTATCACTACATGAAGAATTTATTGCCAAATATTTATTTATTAAATAATAAACAAGATTTAAAGGCTCATCTTAATGAAACTTGAAGACATCCAAATTCTAAAATCTTTTTTTACAATGACTACAGGCATGATCTAATAATAAATTTTCTACTAAAAAAATAGTTTTCAATTCAAGAGCAATACATTTATGGTGGAACCAATGTATAGCGTTTATTAATTTAGCAGAAACGCCGCTATCTCATATTAGGCGCTGTCTCATAATAGGAGGCTTTCCTCTACATAAAAAATCAGGTAAGACATACATGAAACAAGCGAATCGATTAGCGCAGAGTCTAAACGCAGAGTCTAAATGTAAAGCCTTTACTCGTACGAAAGTCTATGATTTTTCCGAGAAAACATTTCTTCTTAATAATATTTAGAAATTTAATTGTTTCAAGAAAAATTGGTAATAGGAATTTTGATTTTTAGAGATTGGAGATCTTCACACTAATCCAAGAAAAAGAGAAAAACAGGAGTGTCAGAGAGAATCAGAGAAATGCATCAATAAACTTTTATTGTAAATTTAGCCTTCCATTTGCAATCTGGGTCTTTTTTAGTACAAGAAAAATTTTACTTTCAAATTTCTTCAAAATAAAGGAAGATAAAAACGGATTCCTTCTATTAAAATATCTTGTTAGTAGTGGAGCCTCATGTAACAGAGGTGTTCAAAAGTAACTCCGAATTTTCCCACATTTTTGGAAACAGTTTTTTTACTGGAACAGTAAAAAAAAACTTGAACTGGACAAAAAAACCCGAGATTACAGGCGGCGGAAGGAAGAATATGATTGTAGATAGAGGATTAATTTGACGCAAGACTACATTTCATAAATCTCGATCTTCGTCAATCGCAACCTACTGAATAACGACCGAATCCCAAAGGTATTCTTAATCAGATAATTATAATAACTTTATAATTATCACACAATTAGTTGAAGAAACTTTTAGTAAAACGATCAATTGTTTATTTCTTTTTCAATATGTTTATTTATCATATTATAATATATACGTTATTGAAGACCACACGCGACAAGCAAGGGTCATCATGACTTTAGAATCAACCAGCCTAATTTTTTCTTTGACTTTGATCACAGGTTTGTTTTCAGTGTCACGTATTTGCGAGTCAGCGAGTAAAATTACACGTCGAACGCAATGTCGACGTAGTTGATGGAGCCTATTCTGCTGGAGATGCCGTACTATTACGTAGGGAAACCGAGAAGACAACAGGGCCGAACAAGTAGGAGTACGCCGACGCCGGTCTGATGTAAGACATCGGTGTCATTATCGCGCGGGCAGTCTGTTCGCGACGAGCCGCGCACGATCAACAGCGACGGCGACGTCGACGACAACGAGGACAAGGGTGGTGCGAAGAGTTCGGTCGGAAGACCGCACAGGTGTGAAGACAGTTGAGAAGAACGAGGCTTCCATCTTACGACTCTCAATAGCTTAAAATACTCGTACAAAATTTTAAGCGCGGATAAAGCGACGCGAGTAGTGTATTGCGTGAAAAAAGGATTATGGAGTGAACAAAGATCCCAAATCTCAACAATTGAAATTTTAACGCGAGCTTATACGACCGATCCGGTTTTTATAAATCTAAAGGCGAGAAAGGAACGTAAATCACACAAAGCGATATTTATCTGCAAAACAATCGACAAAAAAAATTTTTCAAGAAATTCTGATACTCTAAATATACCTATATTGATGTTAAAATCACACAGATTACCGAATACTGAATACTGATATTGATAGTGAATACTGATACGCAGATATTGAGGAGATTATGCGCTTAGTTCACTTGTTTGGATCACGAAGATAAAAATAGAAAGAGACGAAATCCACTCAAAAGAATTTTTTTCGGGTACTTCTTGATTTTTATTATATTATTATTTAACGTGAAATTATGGATAAATTAATTACTTTTTAATTAATTTTTTCGTATTATTAAATGTTGCGATTTTTAATTCGATATTCTCAGTACCTAAAAAAAAAATATTAATTTAATAATGGAATAAGTAATAAAACAAAGAATATATCTTTTCCTTACACACTTTATTTTATATTTTACTAGATAAAGAGGATAATTTTGCTGAAGTATCTAAAAATTTAGCTAAATATAGACCTAAAAATAATTTTATTTAAACCATCAAAATAATCATATAAAACGTACAAGTTATCAGAATATTAAAACTTCTTGCAGAATTGTCGTCAACGTTCTATGTTAAATGTTCTACATAATTATTTTGACATTCCAACAAAATTATTTTTAAATCTATATCCAGTTAAATTAGATACTTCAGCAAAACCGTTTCTTCTATGTATCAAGTTTAAGAATACTTAAACACGTATGCTACTTTAATTTATTGTTATATTTAATTTTTTATTAGTATCTTATACATTATGTTGTAATATTCATCGTAATCTAATGTTTAGGCATCGCAGACAAAATTTTCATGAACATGAGAAGTCAATTAAGAGAATCTTAAAGAAGAGGAATCTTGAATCTTTTTTTATTAAGTGCAGTGCAGCAAAATGTGTTTCTTTCGAATCAGAGTGGTGCAAGACCAACAAGAATAGGCGTTTCTAAGTGTCATTATCAAACGTAATGGTCACCAAGCGACGTGCATATGACGTCGCTGTTCGCGAACTTCGAAGGATGTACGATGTTTTAAAACGTTCGAAGTTGCTGTACGCGTTTCCGTTCGGCAAAACGTTTGACAACGTACTCCGCGTTCTTGAAGAATATAATAAGGTTTCGATCATTTAATGTTGATCTTCGATCTTCGCGAATCAAGACTAGAGCTCGAGAAAAATTTACGTTCCCTCATAAACGCAATTTCTCCAGAAAAAAATCGAGGCTGAGTTTTCGACAATTATCATGCTTGCGTTTCCTTTATGAACGCCATGTGATAATGTCCTGACTTTAATTGGCGCGATAAGTCATAATTGATATTAATTTCCAATAAGTAGATAATACTCTCTAAAACTTTTAAAATAAAATTCATTCTATAAGAGTGAAATCTCATTCTTAAAGATTGAAAATTGAAACACTCTTTTTCAAGAGGGTCACTTTTCACTCTTTAAAGTGAAATCCTCATAAGAATTTAGACAGTATGTAATTATGTAATAGATCCGCAAACTTAAATGCGTATTCTCAATTTTATGTAATCCGAAGTTTTAATAAATGATTGTTTATACGTTCAAAATATCTATTTCGGTCCAATTGTATATTTGTGCCTAAATATCACTTGGCGTTTCTGCAGGGCGTTAAAATGGTGTCGATAAAGAAGCTCGGAATTGGCGGTGGAGTTTCGTTTATCTTCGGCATTCTACTTTGGTGCGGGTTCCCAGCATTGATTAAATCGCAAATTAAAAAGGTGAGTGAATGTTATGAATTTAATAATAAATTTATTTTTGTTTTGTATAAAATATTTTAATCTTATTTTATAAAGAAAATGTAAACAAATGATTACACATTTGTTAAGAAAGTGATATATTTCTATAACAGCAATATATATTTTTTACTTAAGCAATTTTCTTGTGTTATAAATTATAGATTTTTCAATAATTTTATTTCTGCGTACAAAATTAATTTCAAAGAGATATACGCATATATGTTTTTTAGATTATTCACAAGATTTCGTTTTCCAGGTTTTCACGAAAAAGTTGTTTATTAATGTTATATTACATACCTATACATATAAATATTTATGCTATATTAATAAATTTTCGTATAATTAAAAAAATTTTTGTCGCCATTCTCAGAAATTTTGCGTAAACGTCTGGTTTCTAAGTAATTATTATTTTGTAGTTTATGTAGCGTGAAACATTCAAATCATTCCCTGAAAGCGTATGTCACGAAATCCTTGAACCCAAGTTATGATTATTAGACTGCGGATATTTATGCAAAATACTTAATTGAATGTTTTGCATAAAATGCATATTTTGCATAAATTGCACATTTACAGATGGCATTCTCAATCTTTTTACTTCACCTTTTAATAATGCTTTAACGAACAACGATTGACTGCTAAAACTATCCGATAGTTAATATTCGGTTAAGTATTTTGCATAAATATCCGCAGTCTAATGATTATGTTGTTACAATATATTATTTTGACATCTTATTGCAATATAACTTCCTGTCCAAAAATGATAGAATTAATGTAATTTTCTTCCGCTACATGAAACCTAGACGCATTTTCAGAATTAATTTCGTGACCGGATAAACATTTATTTTACTCTCACAACTATAATTACCGAACATTCACCGACATAAATGTTCGCGTCTATCACTAAAACTATAATTTGTGCAATCCACATGGAATAGAGATTCATTTTTTATTGCAATGTTTGAAATAATATGCCGTCAAGTTTTCTATGAATAATCGAGAGCCTTGTTTGTAATCTGACAAGATTTAACATAAATGTATAGGCGGTTCAACTGAAACCAGGAAGTGAGATACGCGATATGTGGTCGGTTGTTCCGTTTCCACTGGATTTTAAGGTTTACATGTTCAATATAACCAATCCTGATGAAATTAAGGAGGGTAAAAAGCCGAGGGTGCAGGAAGTCGGGCCGTTTTTCTACGAGTAAGTAACTTTTACTAATACTCTCAATATATACGAAAATATACGATTTAATATTTGAAATCTAATGGTATATTTCAAATCTAATACTTACAGAATTTATAGATTTGACATCAGTATCTAAAACCAACTTTGTTTCTGTTCTTTTCCTATTAACAATTAAATTCTATATTCAATTATTCACATTTTTCATTATAGGTGCATGGAAGGAACAATTTTACTAAAATAGCTAAAAATTTAGATAGATACAGATCTGAAAATAATTTTGTTAGACACAAGTTAGTTGTTAGAATGTCAAAATTTTATGCAACATTGTCCATTATATTTGAATGTCTTACATAATTATTTTATTAGTTTATTAGTTTAATAAAATCATTTTCAGATCTGTATTTAGCTAAATTTTTAGATACTTCAGCAAAATCATCCTTTTCATGTGTAGCCAATTTTGTTTTAATCAGCCTAGACTTTTTTTTTATTTAATTCATATTAATAAAGAATCACATCTACTTTCGTAAACTTGTTCATTCTCGAATCTTTTAAAATATCAACATTCAAATATCAACTTCAGCGAGTACAAGGTGAAGTTTGATCTCGTCGATCGAGAAGATGAGGACTCCGTCGAGTACAGCATGAAGACAACGTGGTTCTTCAACCCCAAGAAGAGCAACGGATTGACAGGCGAGGAGATAATGGTATTTCCTCATCTCATGATTCTGGGCATGGTGGGAGCCACCCTTCTGGACAAACCCGCTGCGATCGGTGTCGTCGGTACGTACAAATGATTTATCAGTATTAAATATTTTCTTTCAATGTCGTGTATCGATTGCAGTCGCGAATCGGCTGTATCGCACAGGGTCGACGCGGACTATAATAATAAATGTGTGCCGGAAGGTTTAAAGTGGAACGTGAGATACGTTTTCCTATAGTGTATGTACACCTTGGGCGAAGGTGCGAATTATTTATAAGGTCTCCGTTGCCTCGATCGTCATCATATTTGTGACACGTGCATTGCCTCATGCGACGATTAAGTTCAATTAATAAAAATAGCGAGCAATTTACAAAAAATGTCATTATATTAATCTTAAAATATATGTCCATATTCTCTCTTGTTAAAATTTATTACCATTGAATAACGTAGGCAAAGCCGTCGATAGCATCTTTCACAAACCGGACTCGATATTCGTGACAGCGAAGGCAAAGGATATACTTTTCGACGGTCTACCTGTCGATTGCGACGTGAAAGACTTCGCCGGATCGGCGGTGTGCAATCTATTGAAGACGGAAGCGAAAGATCTGATACCGGACGGTGAAAATCGCTACAAGTTCTCCCTCTTTGGCGGGGTAGGTATACTGAAAAAAAATTTACTAAATCTTGATACATATTTCGTTGAATAACACTAATTGTATAAGTAAAAAAACATTTACTTACAACATATAAATATTTTCTTAATAAAAAAATAATAGTTAAATCAAATTAATGATTTTTGTATTAAATAAAGATATGTTTACATTTAGTAAATATTTAGAATTATTAAAACAAATTTTTATTAAAATTTAGTGTTTTCTCAGTGTGGTTTAAAAAAAAAAGATAAATTATTTAATACAAAGATTGTATATACATGTGTTTTAAAGTGCTTGAAGATAATAATGCTTTAATAAATGAAGAATATTCATATGTTGCCACAATTATTTTATAGATAAAGTTGTTTAAAATGTTCTAAATATCGTTGAGTGATTTAAGTAACTATTGTTTCTGAAACTATATATTTTTGTATTATATCTTTAGATAATGTGAACATTATTTTAACGTAATTTTGTAACATCCCTGATTTCTTGGAGATATGATGATAAAGTAGATAAAGTAGCCTAATTGCATGTTAAAAAAAACGAGTCATGCTTGGAGATAATAATAAACTATTATGTTGCATCTGGTAATCTAGCAGGATGTTACATTATACTTACGAAAAATGCATGCATAAAAAGTATGCAAAAATTACAAAAATTTATTACATTGTTCTTTAATAAAAGTACGATTTATTATTTCACGGAAAATTTAACGTTTATAGAAAAACGGTACCGGCGTGCCGGAACGTATGAAAGTTCTGCGTGGTGTTAGAAATTACAAGGAAGTCGGTCAGGTCTTAGAATTCAATGGTAAGCCCGCATTAGACATCTGGCCGGAGGATCACTGCAATGCTTTCAATGGTACTGATTCGACAATTTTCGCACCTTTATTCGGGCCGGACGATGATGTCGTCTCATTCGGCTATGAGATCTGTCGAAGTCTTAGTGCACAATTCGAGCGCCACACCAAAGTCAAAGGCATGCATTTACAAATTTTTTAATATAAAATTTAAATTTTACAAGAAGTGAAATTAGAATTGAGGCTTTAATGTCTCTCGAAATGCAAAAACATTTGCAGAATTATGCATACTTTGTTATTGAGAAATTATGTAACGATTTATATATCTTTTATAAAACTTATAATTATATAATTTTTTAAAATGTCGAAACACAATATGATGTGACACAAGTAAATATATATGTATATTTACTTTTATTTATTACTTTAACTTCATTTTTAATAACCATCTCGAATTCACAGGCGTTAAGACTCTCCGTTACACCGCGAATTTAGGAGATATGAGCACGAATCCTATGGAAAAGTGCTTCTGTCCAACACCGGAGACTTGTATGACGAGAAATTTCTACGATATGACGAAATGTTTAGGCGTCCCTATTATTGGATCTCTACCACATTTTTACGATACCGATGGAAAATATTTAGAGATGGTGGATGGCTTGCACCCGAATCAGGTGATCGACAGAGAAACAATATATTGCGATAATCATGATAGTTATAAGGAAATAATTTTATGAAATAACTATAACGAATTAAATATGAAAGATTTGTAATTTTGAATAAATGGTATTCATCGACAGGATGAGCATGAAATCGACATGGATTTCGAACCGATGACGGCGACACCAATACGCGCGCATAAGCGGTTGCAGTTCAATATGTTCATACAACCAGTAGCAAAATTCAAATTGATGAAGAATTTTCCAAATGCGCTGCTGCCTCTGTTCTGGGTAGAGGAAGGGGTTCTTCTCGGCGACGAGTTCGTCAACAAAGTAAAGATGGTGTTCAAAGTGATGGCGGTCGTCAAGTGAGTGTTGCGATTTGCGGCAATATTTTTTAAATAATTATATTTAACAATATCAATATAATGTTAGTAATAATAACTATATGTATAGTTTTATCAACAGTAAATGTATGATCGAAAATGACTATAATTATATATATATATATATATAATATATATACATATAGTTATTGTTACTATAAAAATTATTAAGATTACTATGATAATTACATGAATACAAGATGTTTTATTGCGCAAAATGGCGTCTAAATATATTTGGGACTAGTTTCTGATTGGTAGCAAATTTCTAATAGCTGCTTTATGTTGGTTTACAAAATTGATCAAATTTCTGATTAGAGAGAGAGAGTCATCCGACTGCAACATAAATGGGAATAAAACATTTGGTATTCTTATACGACAATTACTATCCCAATCAGCAAAAAAAGTTTCAAAAATGTTTTTTAAACGTTTTTTTTCATTGCAAAAAACGTTTTAAAAACATTTAAAAAATGTTTAATTAATGGGATAGATTCTTTTTTATTCATTAAAAAAATGTTCTTTTTACATTTAAAAAACATTTGAAAACATTTTTTTAACATTTAAAATCCGTTTATTTTACATTTAAAAAATGTTTATTTTAAATTAAAAAAACGTATTTTTAACACTTTATAACATGATTTTTTGTTATTATATGAATAATTTCTAAAAATGATTTTTTGACATTAAGTACATATTTTTTTCGTGATATTGGTAATTACCAATTGGTATAGTGCTATGTCACCAAAAAACATGTGTTTAATGTCAAAAAATTATTTTAAGAAATCATTCATATAATATTAAAAATTCATATTATGAAGTAATGTTATGAAGTATGTTATGAATTATCTCAAAATTTAAACTTGTGCTTTGCGGATCACAAATCGAAGATATGTACATTCCGCTGTATTTTATATTAAAGTTGTTTAAAAACTTGCACGTTTATAAAAGGTTAAGTGGATCCTAGTCCAATATTTGTATTTACTTTTTGCAATCGAGGGACATCAAAAGATTGCTCGTGTCTTAAAGAATTCAAAAAAAGGTTTCATTATTTTTACACTCGCTTTTTATCCAAAATTCACAAAAAAATTTAAAAATTATGACGAAAAGAATATATTTAAGTTACGTGAAAAGAATATATTTAAGTTACGTGTGCATGTATGTTACTAAAAACTATAATAAATGTGAAATAAATGTAAAACAAATGTGAATTAAATATAAAATAAATAGTAAATGAACGTGAAAAAAATATTTGTTACGTATATGTTACAAATGACTAATAAATGTGAAATAAATGTAAAATAAATTTAAAATAAATATTTTATAAACGTTTAGTTGACACACGAATTTTAAATGTAAATTAAATATTTTAAATGTAAATTAAATATTTTTTAAATGTTTAATAAATGTTTTTTTTGCAATGATAACCTACAAATGTAAAATCAATGAAGAAAAAATATTTAAAAAACATTTAATCAATGTGGTCTACTGATTGGGATGATTTAATTTATAGTCATTTTTTGGAACAACCACATAAATATCAAAAATGTTTTTCTTAGTATATAATTTAATTACACGTGCCATGCAATCAATTTAACACCATTCTTATAATTACTTCCTTTGTACTACGATTTGCAGTTTTCTAAAGTGGCTGCTAATACTTGGAGGGATAGGCTTGGGCGGCGCGGCTGGATTTTTCTATTACAAGAATCGCGATAGCGGCAAATTGGATATTACAAAAGTTACTCCGAAGACCAGCGGGGACAACAAGCCGGAGAAGAGCTGGCCACCTGGGATGAACATCAGCACAATACAAGCGGCGTCGGTACCGTCCAGCCTCGACAGAAATTAAACCGCTTATTAGCGGAAAGCTAATATGAATATTAACGTCGCAAAAGTCCATCTCCCTTCAGTCCCAGATATCTTTCTTTAACTAAAATTATTGTTAAAATATATATAGTTGAGCAGGCTTTTTCAAATATGACGAAGGATAAAAGTGTCTTGAAAAGAATAGGATAACAAACTATCCTTTTTTCATGAAAGTAAAATAAGGATTTAATGTGGCGGCATTAAGTGACTGAAGGACTAAAAGGGCTAAAGTTATCACGACTATAATATGTATAATAAACAATCATGGCAATAATGTTGTTACCATGCATATCTGGAGCTGACATTTTAGCCCAGATTTACCAAAGATAACATGACATTTCAGCCCAGATTTACCAAAGATAAATGCGGTTTTTCTTTAAAAATGATCAATCTCGAGAATATATAAATAAGGATGTAGATAAGACTCAATGCGTCATGTGAAACATAATTGAAATTAATTATTTAACTACCTCGTTGTAAGAATGTTACAAATCTCTCATTTTATAATGCACTTGTAATAATGTACACTGTACAGTATGAATCAGCAGTTCTTAATCTTCGTTTCTCGGTTCGTGAATCAATTATGTAAATATATATTTGAGGATTTTTCAACTTTAAACTTTATGAGAATTTTAAAACGCGTTTTATGCCGTTAATACATGAACTTTGATTTTATAATATAGCGATTCGGCACGCAAAGATATAAAAAGATTAAGGACCGCTGACAATAGACATACATAATTAGTTATACTTAATGAAAAGGAACCGTTTAGATTTAGAGATTTTAAGTATCTTCTAATAGATTAAATACAACAACTATCATCCGACTAGATACAAAGCGAGTAAAAATAGCGAATACCGTTAAAGAAATAATATATTTATCTAATTTTGTCGAAATATATAAATAAAATTATTTTTAAAATACTAAAACTAAAAGACTAAAAATTTACACGTTTATTTTAACAAATAAATACACAATTTTCACTACGTAAGTGTCATTAATTTTTGCAGACGATAATCTTATGAAAAGGAAAACATCGATAAGCGTCAACAAAAATTCTCAAATCATAAACAAATGCATTAACAGATATAAATTACATATTATTTATATATGTAATTATCATTTCCTTCTAATTATTTATATTCAGACTTTCAGCTGAGTGTCAGTAGACCATCCTTCCGCTTATTTTCTGTTCATCTTTTACACAGCAACACATATCTATACGCGCTCCTGTACTCGGAGCTCATCACAACATAGATAACAGGATTGATGCATGTTGTCAGATAGATGAGTATGTAGCCGGCGATATTGAGGCCCTGCCAGTTCTGAAAGACCGCCCCCTGAAAAAGCTTCGTGACGGTGATCGGCAGGTAGCACACTAGAAACGACACGAATATCACGAGGATCATCTGCAACAGTTTCCGGTCCTTGGCGGACATTCTGGGCGTAGCGTACTCGACGCCGTTACACATTCTGCCGACACTCATGAACTTTGACTGCCTGCGAAACGCCTTTCTTGCATGAGATTCGCTAATTTCTTCGAGTGGTCTGGAATCCAATCGATCCGAGGGTTCGCCACCGACGATCCTCTGGAGTGAGGACTCCATCATGAAGGATGCTTGACCAGTCAACCTCCCTAGTCGACTGCAAGGGTTTTCCGACAATTTCTGTTGCAGCTCGCACTGGTTCCGATCAAAAAACAGTTTCGTTTCTGTGAAGTCCGATTTCTCGATTGCACGTTCGTCCACGAATGGTATATCTCCCGATAGGCTGGCTTCTGAAGCATCGTAACCGTTGTTGGACTTTGCAATTTTCGTGGTTTGATCATCTGTATGCATATTCATCGTACTATTCGTTTTTTGTTCGTGGATTAGCTGCTTGGACGATGATGAATCTTCATTGGCGGATGTGGATGGTAGTTCGAGATTCCTTCCTTCGTTTGGATTAAGAAAAACCGCTTGCATCGATGAGAAAGGAACGCAGAGGACAGAGAGCTCTTGCTCTCGATTTTTCGTAGTAGACGGTTGCTGTAAAGATGATTAAAACGATAAACTAAGATTTAATCGGTGTTTAAAAGAATATTTAAAAGAATATAATTAAACTTTAATAAATTAAATAAAAAGTTCATTTTAGCAAAATGTTTATAACATTTTTTAGCTATTTTTTTAATTTTATAATTTTTTAGCTATCGTATTAATTTTCTTTTATAATATACTCTCTGATTATTATTAATGTTTTATTTATTTTTATTTATTTAATTTGAAGTATACAAATTCAAAAGTGTATCGTCAAGCATATAACTTTTTTTAACATAACGTATAGAGAGATAAAAGAATCTCTTTTCTTTTTTATTCTTTTAAATGTATTTTCTGCGATTTACTTTCCCTTGAGTTAAATCTTTTATCTTTTCTTTTGTTACAAAAATAAATAGATCTTACGTCATGGCTAGTTTCCGTCGGTTCTACATTGAAGATCTTCACTCTGCTTCTACTCTTCGAAGCAGTTTCGCGAACAATGTAGAAAATCCTAGCATAGCAAACGATAATAGCGAGGCAGGGTATTAAAAATGCGAGGACAAAAAGGAACTCTTTTGGACTCCTCCCGTTTATGTCCGGCAGAATCGTACAGGATCCAATAACAGGATCCAATCCAAAACGTCCGAATCGTTCGAACCACGTGACGACCAGCAAGCCAAAAGCAATAATCCATATCGCCAAAACCATCGGTATTAAGAACTTCGTTTTATACAACCTTTGAATAACATTCAAATTAATTTGTAATAGAATTAAGAATATAATTTCTTATATAAAAATTAACAAATTTAAAATAGAAAAGATTTTAAATCAAGACTCGGTTTTTGAAAAAATTTTTTTTTAAATTATTACTGTAATAATTTTATTTCTTTATTAGCTTTTACAGGCTCAATAATCATTTAGTATTCGATTTATTAATAAAAAATAGTTTTGAAAAATAAAATATTTGCATGGAATTAACAACTTACGTAGAATAGAGACTAGGATGACCGATCATGACGTAGCGATTGATTGTGATCGCGAGAACGCTGAAGAGGCTGACTGCAACGAGGCCGTACCTCAAGAGCGGAAACAGCCGACATAGAAGTGGTCCGTATAACCACGACCTATGCCAGAACGTTGAAGTTGCGAGTGGTAGATTGAAACAGCAAAACATCAAATCTGATATCGAGAGATTCATAATGAAGACCGCGGTAGCGTTCTTTAGCTGTAACAAAATTAATTGTAAAAGGTTGTAGAAACTTTAAATTAAAAACAAAATTAATATTAAAAATAAAATTTAAATTACAAAAATATTTCCTTACAAAATATCTTTATTATGTTACTGGAATCTGGAATTGCTTTTTAGAATTTATTTGGAACACTTAAATAAATCATTTTGTATTTAATTATAATACTTTATTGTTGTACGTGATTAGAGCAGATATTTGATAATACATGTATAATAACAAAGAAATCGTTGACGTGAAAATTAATTCGCGAAATTATCGAATAAAAACTCTCCCGAATTTCTCGAAGTAAATACTATAAAATCGATGGAGACTTCTCGATTCAGTTCTAGTTGATTATATCGGAATGGAGTACGTGAACCTTCGTGAAAACATATGATTGTATATGCGGTCGGTTCCGCGTAATCGATTCCAAACTTAACTCATTGATGATTGACTTTGGTGAGAAATTTAGCCATAGAATCGTGCCGACGACCCCTTTTTCAACCTCATAATCGATGTTTTTTAATAACAAACATGTTAGAAACAAAATACGTTCCACTATTCATAGAACAATTATTTTGTATTTGGAACTCTCTCTAAAAATTTGTATTTTTAAAATCAAATGGGTATATTCGAGCGTAAAAGAGAGAAAAAGTGAAAATGGCAATAAAAAATTAACATGTAAGATTAATAAAATATAAAACTTAAATAATATAGAATCCTTTTATGAAATAAAACTATTAAGAATATGAGACTGAGGAATATTCTGTATAGTTTAACGTCATTGCAGCTTGGATTAACACCTTGTAAGACTAAAGAGATATAATGACTCGAGGTAAACCACTCTGGCAGCTTTTAAAATTTCTGCGTGTAAGCAATGCCGGAAACTTGAGTAACTTTACATGATACGGATTCAGTATACTAAAGCCTTTTGAACACGAGTCGGGAAAATTATTGCAATAAGTAGCGCAAAACGATTTACAAATAAAAATGCGTTATTTGTACATTAAGCATTTCAGAATATTTTCTTTTAGAGAGGAATTTAATTGTAAAAACATTAGCACGATGGCATATTATTATTTTTTCGAATTGCCCTTCTTTTACAAATCATCATTGTTTCTTGCAACGTCCAAGTTGCGCGAAATTCATATCGACAAATCTACTGATCGATCAATTTTCAGCTTGAGCTGTGTTTGCTTTTTCTCTACTCGCTTTTTCTTTTTATTATTATCATATTATTTTTTATACAAAGTTATATAGGATAGGATTTTTTATACAAAGTTACATATCATTTTTTAAACAAAGTTACAGCTACAGTTACCTTTTTGGTGCGAAATAATGCGATCACCGTAATGAGATTTCCCGGAATGCCGACCAGCATGAAGAGTATGCAGCAGGCGGCGGCAAAGCACAGCAGCCACCGTGGATAGTCAACGAAGAGGATCACTGATCCCGGATCCTGCAGCATCTCCTCGATTGCTTTGTCGCCGCTGCTGTTGCGTCCGGTTTCGTTGCTCGTCATCCACCAGTGTTTCAACATCTGTGGAAGACCGAACTCTCGTCGAGTACGTCTACGAATGTCGTGTCAAGACCGTAAATAGAGTCTTGACATTTTACATTTCGCTAGATATTTTATTTATCTTGATACTTTTAGAGGGAGAATCCTTTAAAATAATAATCAACAACTGTTTATAAATTATTATTATATACAGGGTGTCCCAAACTGTTTTGCCAATCACTTTTGTGTAGATGGAACGGACTAAACTGAGTCGAAAAGTCCTCTACCATTTTGCAATTTTCGTAATAGTTAACAAGATATTAATTACTAAAAATTGCAAAATATTGGTCTTGAATAATTTTTTACTCAAATGCTATCAATTTTACAGAAAAACTGCAAGAGACAAAAATCATTTATTTTCTTCTTATAGAACTCTAAGAATTTTTTCGGAATTTTTTATCAACTTTTTAGTACTGCATTTTCTTATTTTTACCAACATGAGAAAATACGGGATATTAAAAAATATTCTAAAAAATTCTGAAAAAATTCTCAGAACTTTATGAGAAGAAAATAAATTATTTTTGTCTCTCTTGCAGCTTTTCTATAAAGTTCATAGTATTTGAGTAAAAAATCGTTCAAGATCAATATTTGGCAATTTTTAGTAATTAATTTCTTGTTAACTACTGCAAAAATTGCAAAATGGTAGAAGACTTTTCGACTCAGTTTAGTCCGCTCTATCTACATAAAAGTGATTGGCAAAAAAGTTCGGGGACACCTCGTATATAATCTATTTCATCCATTATAAGAGAGATTACATAATATAGAGTGATTTAAATGATCGTAATTACTTTCTAGTAAAAACTTTGAGAATGAATCTCAATTAGGAGAGTAAAATCTCACTTTTTAGAGTGAGATTTCACTTCAAAGAATTTAGAAAGTAGTAATTATCATGTCGTGATTAAGCGACACTTTGTCACCTTCGTAAAAATTATGCATTATTATATATTATATTGTTTAATATAATTATACTTTAATTACATAGTATGTAATTAAGAAAGTTTCTCGGTAAGAGATGTGCTCAAGAATTTACATGGCTCTAGTCTGAAAATGTACGTATTTTTTATTCTTTCCTTAATTATTCGTTGT